TCTCAACGTGACAACATGATGATTAACAAAAGGGAACTAACAAACTAAGAAGAGAAGTGAAAAAACAACATGGGAATTCCTGTTAAAGGACATCTGGCCATGAGCATCCAAAAGACTACAAACTAAATCAATCAATCAATGAAAATGTAAAAATGCTAATGATATGAGTAATTGGATGTAATCAGAGAATTTAATTTTCTGGATATTTTGATCTTATGTCATCTCTCAGACTTGAGGTTTACAGATGATGAAAATTACAGGTCTTTCTGATCTTTTTAAGTTCAGAACTTGCAAAATTAGTCGCTAACTAAATACAGTTTTGCTCCATTGCCCTCTTAAAATCACACCAGAACTCTTATTAAGATTGAGATAAATATTTGAAAGAGTTTTAAAGGTATCAGAATCAGAAGTTTTTATTGCCATATGTGGGCCAAGTCACAACATTAGGAAATTGCTGCGGTATTTTGGTGCAGAAGGTAAGAAATAAAAAAAAATTAATTAAGAGATAAGCAATATAAGAACTAATAAAACACTCATGATAAAATTATTAATGTAAAAAGTGGCAGGAATTAGAGAAGCAGCTGTCTACCCCGTGTAGGTACTAATCTGAGTGTTTTCTGAATGGTTCAAGCACAGCATCGGATCACGTGACTGGGACCAATCAACTTAAGTGGGCTGCCCTAAGATTTTCATTCAAAAGTCCAACTGCAGAGGGGAAGAAACTGTTTTTGTGGCGAGAGGTTCTGGTCCGAATGGATCTGAGCCTTCTGCCAGATGGGAGCGAGTCGAAGAGACTGTGTCCAGGGTGACACAAGTCAGCTATTATCCGACCTGCACGCCTCTGGTATGGGCCAGACTCGGCATTAAAATGGTAGAAATTCAGTATAACTACACGTTATCATCTATATAAATACGAACTGGTTTCAGTTTTTCATTTTGTTAAGGAATTTTGTCATAAATCATTACAGAAAATCCAAATCCTCTCCTCCCCACATAGTACAGTGAAGAACTGTGTTTCGCATACGGCAGCAGTAGCTCAGGTGGTAGAGCGGGTTGCCTCATGGTCATGGGTTCGATTCCATCTCCAATACTGGGGCAGGGGTATCCTGCTGTTGTGTCCTTGGGCAAGACACTTCACCCAACTTGCCTGTGTTAGTGATGGTCAAAGGGGCCGACGGCGCCAAATGGCAGCCTCGCCTCTGTCAGACCTCCCCAGGGCGGCTGTGGCTACAAGTAGCTTACCATCACTAGCAGTGTGTGAATGTGAGAGTGTGTGAAAGCGTCTTTGGTTGTCTTGAAAAGCGCTATATAAGTTCAATGCATTATTATTATTATTATACGTCACTCCAGCACGTAAAACAAGCTAGCTGCTGATGCTAGTATTGTGAATCACTGTATTTGTTTTCTTTGATGCTCCTAATTATTACGTAAAATTGCGTTTACAGCTGCAGCAAAAGGTCTGAGCCATATGTCTGTGTTCTACACGCATTTTTAAATAACATAGCTCAGATCTAAAATAACATTTATAAATCCATCTAGAACCACACCGATACTTCTGGACTCTGAGTCCTGTCATGACTGCAGCAACACTGTTAACTGTGTTAAGGTTGGTTTATGCTTGACGCGTCCGCGAGGTCCGCGCGGCGAAATTGCGTCATTTTAACAACCACGCCCCTCCACTGCGCCTCCGCACAGCCCAAAATTTCCGCACCGCACACCTAGGAAATTTTCTAACCACGCGGACGGTCGGACGTGGAGAAACATGGCGGACTGGCAAGAACTAGTATGGCAGAGGTTCGTAAATACAGACATTTGTATGATTCAGCTCTCAGAGATCACAGTGATCAACATGTTGTTAATAATTCTTGGAGAGAAATAGCTCGCACTGTCGGAAAAGACGAGGACACTGTTAAAAATGCTGGAATGCCATGTTGTAAACAGTAATTTTTATTTCTACTATGGTGTAGTGTTGGATGCATGCCGTAGAGCTCCATGCTGCCCCCTACAGTTTGGGAGAATATTGGCTCACCGCAGAGACGAGCCGCATGAACCATAAACGCTGCGAGTTGTGAAGCGCGTTCCATCCGCGAGCCGCATCACCAAGCGGAAAGTAAATGCGTCAAGCATAAACCAAGTTTTTGCTCCAATAAGGAAAAAACAAGTCGTTTGGGAAACCTACGACTAGGGATGGGTACTGAATTCGGTACTTTTTAAGGTACCGACCGAATTCCATTGTACCGACCGAGCACCGATTCATGTCATTTCAGACGGTGCCTCATTTCGGTACCCGTCCTTAAAAACGAGAACTTGCTAAGACAGCTGCGCATGCGCAAGAGCGTTATGTCGTCGGTCCCTGCGAGCCAGTTGTAAACAGAGCAGCATGGTAGAAAGAACGCACGCTAAAGCTTGGGTCCACTTCACTAAATGTGATGGGTAACTGGGTGATGATGAAACCAGCGACAGACAACAATCTAAGTGAAACATCCTCATCTTAATCTGCTCCGGTAGGTAAATAAAATGTTTAAGATAACGTTACCTTGATATGTTAGCTTCCGTTTCGCTAATGGTGCGTTCGCTTTCTCCTCGGAACTCCGAATTTCCGACTAGAAGAACATGAACGCGCTCTAAAGTTTGGCTTCACTTTACTAAATGCGACGGGTGAATGGGTGAAGATGAAACCAGTGACAACAATCTAAGTGTGAGGCATCATCGTTTTAATCTGCTCCAGCAGTTAAATAAACTGTTAAAGATAACGTTAGCTTGATATGTTAGCTTCCATTGCCACCGTTGTTATCAGCTAATGGTGGTTCGCTTTCTCCTCGGAAATTCTAACTTCCCAGTAGGAAAAATCAAATGGTAAAAGGAATGAAGATACACAGTAAATTTAGTTCACAGTAAAGATGTTTGCTTCAGTTTAATTATCAGCTTATAAAACTACAAGGACGATTTTAAAATACAAACAGTTGAATGTTATTGTGCTGACACTTCCTGTTGTCAGCCAGCTGGGTGAGGGCGGAGGCGGCTTCTGATGCGCTTCTATTCATAAATCAAACCTCCTTTTGTCTGTGCGTTAAAGTCTTGTTTATTTTCTTTTACAAACATTAGCTGGCGTTTTACATGATGCGGTTCCAAGGATAGTAGTGCTCCCAGTTGATCGCCACAAAAAGGAAGTATATTGTGCCATGGTGTCGCGAGCGGTAAAAAACCGTATGCTCATCCCGCCACCCATGCGTAATAATCTCCCGAAACACCTGAGGACCCACTTAAATCACATGTGACGCACCCGACACCACCACCACCACAGATGAAAGCCCAACCCACAAAATAAATGGCTCCTACAGTTATTTATCGTGATATTTATCAAATATTGTTATATATTGAGAAAAATACATATTTAATTATAAAAGAGAATTAAAATAATAAACACTCAAAAGTATCGAAAATTAGTACCGTTAAGTACCGGTATCGATTCGTAGGTACCGGGAATTAGTACCGGTTCGATTCAAATGTCAAAGGTACCCATCCCTAGCTACGACACACACAGATATAATCTAAAAGATGATCCCCATATCAACCATAGATACTCCATGGACCAGTAGAACTTCCGTGCCATCCTGGATTAGTGCAAACGAGTCAAACTAAGGAGTTACTCCAGCATCAGGAAGATTTATTCTGGTGAGATATTAGTTATATATTTTCCGGAGTTATATCAATAAATACATGGAGCAGTAAAACTGGCCGCACACATATCTGTAGATTACTGAATTATAATTGGACACATGATGGAGACCAGCTGAGAACTTGTCAGCTTAAAGCTCCCGGTGGAGCACAGAAATGAAATATTTAAAGAGCAAGTAATGTCTAAATAAACTTTTTTTTGCTGATGAACTGTATAAATGAGTGTCTAATAGTGTTTTAAATGTGTGTATTTATTATTTTAGCATTTTGGTGCATTTTCTTTAAAAATTAAAAATTCTGCCTAAATACCACAGTATAGCTCCACCTTCAGCTTAAAACATAGAATTGTACTCATTTTGAATAAATTTTAGCCAATGGCTAAGGAGTAAGATACTACGTAAACCAGTAGAGTACTACGTAGCAGCTCTGTGTCAAAGTTATAAAAGCAACGAGCGTCTCGGCCACGCCTTGTGGCGAGTTGGGAGTTGGATTTGCAAGCGAGTGTAGGACGGTTAGCGGTAGTTCAGCATTAGCATATCCTAGTCTTTAGCATAGCTTTTAGTGTTATACATACTTATTTAGTGTTAGTTTGGCTGTTGGATATTGTAGTTTAGTTAGTGTTTGGCTGTTAGTGTAATTGGGAAAGTAGTTCGGGTTTAGTGCTCCATATCGTCTTAGTATTGGTGAGTAGGTGTAGTGTAGTATGGTTGCAGTGGCTCTGTGGGCATTTTACCCGCGATTCTGCACGTCTCCGTTTGAAGAGGGAGGCAATGCCCACCGTGGCACTTCCGCAATTTAGATGCAGCCCACCGACTCTGCTCCCCCACCACGGCGGGCTCCAGTCTGAGGTGAGTAATAAAAGTTTTGACATCTTCTAAAGACAATTCCCTACCTAAATGCAAAGTTTGAGGGACGTGGTTCACTTCCTTTAGCTAGTCAGTCGGTAATTCTGCAACAGTGGCTCTAACTGACGCAGCACTAGTTGACAGACAGCATTACAGCGTGACCCGGTTCTGTAAGGAATTCTGTTCAGGAGGTCGCATTTCAGGCTCTCCACATCATATGTGACTGACTTTTGCGTTATAACAACGATCACACACTAGGAATTTTATAAAGCGCCTATATAGGACAGTTTCTTTGGTATATTTTCTGACTTTATAAACTCCAACAACAATGTGCTTCTATTTTTTTTTTTCAGGCTAAATCTACCCAAGACACTGGCTGTCATACTGATTTAGCTGCAATAATGCACTTGTCCAGGCTGACGTGAAGCCTTCCCTGTAGCAAAGGTGAATTATTTTTAATAATCTTCTATGTAAACATTTTATTATTACCTTCTAGTTTTAATTAGTTTTACAGATTATTGTTACACGTGATTTTATGCTCTTTTAAACATTTATAAATGTGCTGCTTCTTTGTTTTTACATAGCCAGCCAGAATAGAGCTCAGAGCCTCAGTGTATCTTGTGACACAGGGACCATGATGGAAATTCATCTTCCAGAAAGTCCCAGAGCAGTGTCCACACCCCTGAAAAGACCAAGATGTGAGGTGTCTGCTGTTGATTCCAGCTTCCACCTCAGTGACAGTGCAAGCTCAGTGAACTGTTCAAGGTAAAAAAAATTAAAACATTTCAGAATTTTTAAGATATTAACAATTAAATAAGTATGTGATTACATCATGACATCATGAAGGAGGCTACTGATTCTGCCCCTGTGACACTTGGTGGTGACGTGTGAGCTGATTCACCTGGTAAATAACTTTTACATTAAATATTTTGTTTTTGCTATCAAAAGTAAATTAACTAATAACCTGCATTATTGCAGGACACTCAGCAAAATATGGACTCTACACCATGAGGCAGGCACAGGTTAATACTCTATAAGAGCACATAAGGTGAGCAACACCACAGATTATTGTTATTACTGTACACTGTCCTGGATTTGTTTTCTTTCTGCATCTCATCATTAGCCTGGCTGATCACCTGATAACTCCTGTCATCTGGTTATGACAGCATGAGGACGTCCTCACACACCTGTAACCTATCAGCTCATCTGGCAGAATAGAGAGAGAAGAGACAACACCACATCTCCTGTTCCTGGAAAGCCTTCAGCCATCCTTCGATGACTGAGAACCTCCATCAGCTCTGTCTCCTGTCTGCCTACAATTATTATAATAAAAATTGTGTTTGACAAGTTTTTTGTGCTGCCAAATGTCTCATTTTGACTCCAGTTTTGATATTTTAATGGATATTTATAAATTACATTGATTATCACATTGTTGCATGTTTAACTAGCTCTATTGTGATGAATTAAACTAGCACTTCACTGTTAAAAGCTCGTTTTAATTTCAAGCATGTTTAAGTATTTATGGACATGAACAAAAACAGGAAATATATAAATTGAGATTTATTTAATTAATATAACAAATAAGGGGGAAAGAGTCATTGAAAGGCAAATTCTTCCGAAAGCTCCTGATCCTGACGACACCAGAGACCAGCTGTAGACACCAGAGGATCACCTGCAACCGAGAGAGCAGCTGTTATCAGTAAATAAATAAATCAGGGCAGTTTTAGTGGGCTGAACACATTACAGAATAATTTTCTCATGGGGTATTTTCATAACTTTATGCAGCAGACTGTAACTTGAGCCCAGGGCTCCTGGAGAGCTGCTATCCAGCACGTTTCAGTGGTTTTCCTGCTTTAACAGGTTAGATTAGCTGTTAAGCAGCTCAGCTATTTGTTGCTGATTAAAACCAGGTGTGCTGAAGCAGATAAACCTCTAAAACATGCAGAATACTAGCTCTCTAGGGCCGTGGAGCCAAACCCTGCAGCTAATTGCTATGACTAACGGCTACTTACCATTCAGAGCTGGTTCTGTTGGGTCGGTTCCACTAGTTTCAGGCAACTCACAAGCTCAAAACAATAAGGCTCAGGTCCGCTTGTCTCCTCCAAATAGACTTGGTCCCTTTCTTCTCGAGTGTCTGGGTAAGGAGGGGGAGAAACGTCCTCCACTTCAATAACTGCTCAGAGTGAAGGGAGCTAGCATCGTCTAGTTAGCCATTGCCTTCGTCACTGCCGCGGCTCCGCCCTCTCGGTCCTCCAGGCAACGCCTACTAATGTTGCAGTTTTAAAAATAGATACGTGGGTGGAGAAGGACTCTGAGGGGGGCATTACCACCTCTTTAATAAAAGTAAACAAACTGTACCAATTTTGGTTCTGAAGATGAACAGAATTCACCTCGATGTTCAAATCGGGTCGCGGGTATTCTGAGTCAAACGGTCTAAAACATGTCTGCACCTCCGGTAGTGATATCCAGCTTGCGGGATCGGAGTTCGGTTGAACTTTTACAGTAATTCAATATCTGTTCTTGTCACCGTGTTCAAGAGAAAAAACCAAATCTGACCGACCAGCAGAGGCTTCAGAAGTTACATATGACTAATGACGCATTGTTCTCTGCTATAACTCTAATGCAGAAACACTGGAGTCAGGCGTTGTTTACTGTGGCGGTTTTAGCAGATCTCCTTGTGAAACGTCACCAGCAGTGTTGCCAGATCCAAAATCCCACAATATCGTACAGAGAGGCCTAAATTATCGTTTTTCAGTACAAATTATCGTACATTATAAATTTGATAATAACATTCTATAAACGACTTCTCATGCCAATATAATATAACAAAGAAGGTGTTTTATATTGCCCTGTTTAAATAAACATCTTTAAAACCAGTAATAAACGTGCAGTGTGTCGGCACCACTCCGACCTCCACGCATTGACATAACATGCACATTTGCGCAGTCCTATTTATTTAATTTCCACATAGGTTTAAAGCATGCAACAAAACATCACAGCAGTGGAAGAACTGACCCAATAAATGGCAAAGCAGCCTACTCACCTAGTTGCTGATCTCAATCTCCTCATCTGATTCACTGTCTGTCGCAGCATCGCCAGCAGTAGATGTGGAGGCCTTGCTTCAGTACAAGTTTGATGAAGTCATGGAGTGCAACATAGTTTTTGTGGGAGCGAACTCTGGGCATCCTCCTCCGTTGCTAACACACTCAGAAGCTTGTATTAGTCCATTGAGGGTTGCCGTAATGAGCCTGTTGCAGGGTTTGGTCTTTATTATGTTCACTTTTGAGAAGACTCGTTCGCATGAAGCATTGAAATGGGGAAAAATCAGTACATCCAAGGCAAAAGTAGCAAGATCTGCAAACAACTTTTTCCCGCTCATGTCTTGCATGGTGGATAAGTTGTACCAGAATGCATCCGCGTCCATAGTTTTGTAACTGTCACTGAGGTCTGTGATAGCCAGCTGTCTCCACTGGTCATCGATGAGCTGGATGCGGTCAGTGTCCTCGATGTCCAGTAAGCGAGGCACAGTGCACAGCATGGGAAACAGAGAAGGGTAAATGGTGCATGCTTGTGGGTCCATTGCCACAGCAGGAGAAAAACAGTCCAGAGCACACAGCAGAGGGTCGTCAAAGTCGAAGCGTTTTTTAATTTCTGAACAACCAACTTGCAGAAATCTCTGGCAACGCACGAAAAAGTCTGTAACAATTGCAGGGTTAATGCGTGTGTTTCGGAGCTGCTGCTTTACCCCTACGCCCAAGTACAGTGTGTTAACTGGCAGGTATTTGGAGATGTCTGTTGGATCAATCTGGCTCAGTTTTGTGTGGAGAACGTAGTTTCTAGCCATAAAAGATAAGAGGAGATCTTTGTAAGTCTCGCTCATTTTCTTGTGCAGAGATGTGATGACAACCTTCTCACTCTGGAAATACTCGTTCAGGTTTGTAAATTTTGGCAAAACCCATTCCAAAAAGCTAAAGTATAGTCAGCGCCGGCGCTCCGCACACGCACACCACGCACAGCGCGTAGGGCACCACGCCGGGGAAGGGGCACCAAACGCAAGCTTATGAAATATAATATATATATGATAAAGACAGATTTCAATTAGAAGATGTGCAAAGCAAGTTAACAGCATGTTTACAGAGAGAAAACAATACAAAAAGGATGGACCGTGTTCACTTTTCACTCTGTCCGGACGTCCGGACTGGGGGTTCTTATATTGATGAAAATATCCGGCTTTTCATCCAGGAGCAGGGATGGGGGAGCTGTATATCCTACACATCCAGGGGACCCGGAAAAAAGTTTTCTACCTATACTACATCATTTATGGACTCTTTTGAGCAGAGAGCACAGAGAGCGACACAGCGCTGATCGTTGTTGCGCAGCGCTCCAGGCTGCTGCTTCCAGCGCACGGTCCATTCTCAAAGTGGCGCAACCAAAAAACTATAATTAACACACGATCGTTCATGTCCGCTCATGTTCTCTACTTTCTGTCTCATTTGTGCCTGAAGCGCTCTGCTACTGCAGAGCTCATCACCTGTGCTGCGGTGATTTCACATCACTGACGCAGCATCAAATCGCGCACTCCGCTTTGCGGTCAGGAGATTCCTTTGATCTGCTCAGAAGTAACTGATGAGGTGAAAAGGTAAAAATCCAGGCAGCAGTTTTTCTGGAGAGTTTAGAGGAGATGCAGGAAGATGAGAGAAAGACAGGACAGGAAAATAGTTAAATAAAAACAAGAAAACAAAACAAAGTGTTGAAAAGTAAAATGTACGTAGATTTATCTCCACTACACGTTTTTACCTGTATAAAACAATAAGTTACACACATGTAATATTTATACATCTGATACAATTCAGATCACCTTCAAAACTCAGTCACACACCCAGGGCCGTTTCAAGACATTTTGGGGGCCAAGGCAAAATGACCCCCCCCCCCCCCCACACACACACACACACACACACAAAATATCAATCCTACTTTTTGGAAAATAATAAGCAGTTTGTGCATACAAGAGAATTAAAGAAAATTTAAGGTGAAGCGCTTGCACATACTGTGTTATTGTGTTGTTTTTTCTGTGTGTGTGTGTGTGTGTGGGGGGGGGGGGGGGGGGGCACCACGAAGCCTTTGTGCTTAGGGCACCAAAATAGCTAGCAACAGCCCTGAGTATAGTCTAAGTGAGTCATCATGGAGAGCCCTGTAGACATTTTCTGCAGCATTTAAACGTTCCGCCACCCACTGATCGGTAAAGAAGAGCCGAAGCGCACTCCACTGCGCGTTGATGCGCTTTACAACCTGATACAAAGAAAGCCAACGGGTCTGTGCTGGCTTCAGGATTTTGTGAGGCTCGACACTACAAAATTCCTGGAACTCCTTCAGTTGTGCCTGGCGTTTTGCGCTGTTTTTGAAATAGGAATATATATCTCTTGCTAAATCTTCACATTGTCGTGGTAGCTGCTTACATGACTCACTTGTGCACAAATGCAAGGAATGACAAATGCATCGTTGCACTGTGATCCCAGGAAGATCATGCTTGAGGCGACTGGAGACAGAATTGTGTTGTCCCATCATGGTGTTACACCCGTCTGATGCAAAGCCCACAATGTTCTCTAGAGGGACATTTGCAGATGTAAATTACTCCAAAATTTTAGAGTAAAGAAGCTCAGCAGTTGCGCCGTTGTAACTTGCCTGCGGCTGATCATCTGAAAAAATCTGAGCTAATTTCCAAAAGCGTGTCTGCACTGATTTGGAGCTGTCGTCAAAGAAACGGACCACAATGCAAAGACTTTTAACTGTACCAATGTCCGTAGACTCATCTACAAGGATGCTGAACTTTTTACGTTGTAATATTTCAGAAAGCTCTTCAAAGTAGCATTGTCCAATGACATTCTTTGCAATGTTTGTGGCTTTTGTGCGCCCCAAACTAACAGCTTGAGCAATTTTTGAATCACTGAAAATGCCTTTAACCACCTGTACTAAGTGGTCTGTGCTTCTCATTGCAATGTTGTGCTCGGCTAAAAAGCCAG